CATAGTGAATAATGTTATGTTAACCGTAACTTGTAATTCCATGAGTAAGGGTCTAGGTGGTGTTTGTATTGTAGAGTGAATAAAATTGTATGAGCAGTAATTTGTGGTTTCATTGGAAAGATAATAGATGACAGTTCTTTACTTAGGCTTGCTGGAATTCTAATTTCTGTAGATTGTACTGATGAAAACTGTATCTGTAATTTTGTTTGAAATATTTTATCATTAATTACTGAAAATCTCAGTCTTTCCATTTCCATGCTTATCAGTGTTCAATCATGAATATTAGTAGTAGCAGATAGTTTTAACTACTTGTTGTAGAATGGTTCATGTTATTGGTGGAGATCTGTAAAATACTTGGCAATTGAAATGATCCTTGTAGATACATAAAAGTTTTATTTTAGGAGTTAAAGAGGAGCCTTTGTCACCTCAAGCAAGTGAGAATGTAGCTGGACCAAGTGGCTCGGTAATTAGTGGAGAATATTTGCCTACAAATGGTGAGTTGATGTAAATAAAATAGATTTTGTTTTGTATGGTAGCAATTACATTTTCCCAACTGTATATACTTAAGATACATGGAGTGTATTCATTATTTCAGAAGTGAAAATGGAGTTTGAAAGTTGGTATGCGTTGCCTGTAATTGAAGAGTCAGATGTGTTATACACCTGTGAAGTTTGTCACAAAACATTCAGAAACATTGACTATAAGAAGAGGCATATGAAGATCCATGAAGAAAGACCAGAATATGAATGTAACATCTGTCACAAAGTGTTTAATTTTAAACCAAGTGTTTACCGTCACAGACTCTATGTACATGGAGCAGACCCCCATATTCCCCCAGTTAGACACAGAACTACTGATCCTTATGTATAATAACCTGTTTGAATTGTTTTATGTATGACTATCACAGACTACGTACATGGAACAGACCCCCATATTCCCCCAGTTAGACACAGAACTACTGATCCTTATGTATAATAACCTGTTTGAATTGTTTTATGTATGACTATCACAGACTACGTACATGGAACAGACCCCCATATTCCTCCCATTAGCCACAGAACTACTAATCTTTTTGTATAATAACCTATTTGAAATGTTTTTTGTTGTCTATCACAGACTATGTACATGGAACAGACCCCCCATATTCCCCATGTTAGACACAGAACTACTGATCCTTATGTATAATAACCTGTTTGAATTGTTTTATGTATGACTATCACAGACTACGTACATGGAACAGACCCCCATATTCCTCCCATTAGCCACAGAACTACTA